CGAATATGGTATTTTCGCAGAATTCCAAATTTGAATATTTTCTGGAAAGGGGTTTTTGAAATATTCGAATTTTTTAGATATATTCGAACACCCGGTTTCTTAGAAATTCGAAGATTGAATGTAGTTTTTTTTTTTTCAAAAATTCGCTACGGAATTTTATTCGAATATCACCACCACCCAATATCCGAATTTTCGAGTGATTCAAGTTCGAATATTTATTCGAACTTGCACTGGAATTATTCATTCGATCCGAAGTATAGTGCACATTTATATCTCTTTCATGCCCTGTTCTTTCGAGATTTCCCACCCTTTGTTTTAGGCTAGTACGAAATTCTTGAAATCCTTTTTAGAAAAATTCCAAAATTTTATGAAGCAGCTACCGGTTCCTAAAAAATTCGATGCAGTACCATTGAAGGCGATGGTACGCCATGTTTTCTCTCATCAGTCTTATAGTGGAGCTTCGCGAGGTCTACTTTACAGCTTTTCGGCAATGCAGTATAAAAGAGCTCACTTTGGAGCAGTATCATCAAGTAATGAGTCCCCTAATACCAAGATCTACGATAATTCGGAGTAAGGCTGCGATTAAAATACGGGTTCAAACTAGCGCAGTGGTGTGGGCTTTCCCTATCACCTCTGCGAGGAAAATCATGAAAGCTGACGCCTATACTACAGTACAGCTGTTAATTCGTGTTCCAAAATACATTCCCGACGGATTAAACGGTCGCAAACCGTGAGAATACTTTAAGAAATGTAAAATGGAAAAGTATGAGTACCAATCGAAAATTCTCGATATGCTGGTTCCAAATGTATTTTTTAAAAACTTTAAGAAAATAAGGAAGAATGAGGATACAGAGTTGTCCGCTTACACAGATGCAATTCCTTCCATGCGGCCTATCCCGCGTGACCCGAGCGCATTTGTAAGGATATGTGGAGGTAAATGGCGCTGATTTGCCTACAGAATAGACCAGTTTCTAACTTATTTTCACTTATTTTTGATAGTTTTTTTTTTGAAATATTTGCAATCAGCATTTCGAAAATATCGGATGAAGCTCAAATTTTCCGATTTTACGGTTTGCGCAGCATTCCGGCAGTTTCCGACGGATTTTAGGAGAATTGGGAGCTATATTATATGTTTTAGTACCGTACGCTGGCGTGTCGTAGTTTTTGCTCAAAGGAAATTCGTTAATGGCAAGCCTTTTTCTCAAAATTGGGCATTCTTTGAGGTTTTAGAGCATTATCTTTGACGATAGTTCTACTACGAGAAGAAGAAAAGGAGGTAGAGTATGTTACCTTAGAAATTAGAAGTATGTAGACAATTTTAGAAGGTATAAAGTTGTATAGCGATTTTATAGCTAAAGGAAAATGAAGCAGACTACTCTGGGGCTTACTAGTATTTATCTTACGAACTACAAAATTCGTATCTACAGCTAAAATCGGCTAAATTTCGATACTTATTCCAGCCTCGTAAGGCTGAGATCATTCGTGGATACAGAGCGTTTTTATAGCAAAACGTTATAAATATCCAAGTCGTTTTTTTAGCAGCTGGCTGAGAAAATTCCAGTTTGATCGATGACTCTCTGCTTCGTTGATTCACTCCACAAATATCGCAAGTCTGATTTTACGGAACTAGGCGGTCCACAAATATCCGAGCACGTTGGATTTTCTCGCGAAAGTTTGGATTTTCTAGTTTTCCTTTCATTTTCTCCTGTTGGGATATAGGTAATCCCATTTTAATTAGGTAGAAAAATGTTTTCTCCCTACGTTCTCTTTTCCTTTGAGCGAACTGGAAATACTGGAAAAGTAAGCGATATGGTAGCCTTTTGAAGATTCACTGAACCACACGGCCACACCTACCTGTTTACCATTAGTCCGTTCGTACTTCTTAGCATCAATCAGCTGATTCATCACTGACGTAATAACTCATGCCAAAGGACGAGTTCTTAAGTTCATGACGGGGCGTAACCAGTCGTCAGCTAACTTTTAACCGGCCGAGTAACAACCTTGAATGAGTCACACATGCACCGAGGTGTGCCTTTGTTATTGCCGCGGCTTCCTCGCTCAGCCACCACCAATTTTACACAACCTTCAGGTATCGATTGAAGAAAATCCGTCCTAACCTGGGTTGTTTATCTGTTCTGATAGGCTGCCTTAATAGTTCTTGAATTTTTTGGTGTTTCTGGTTGTATTTTATCATTTATTTCACAAGTATTATGAGGAAATCTGTATTTTATCAGAATTTTAGGCTTTTTCACCAGCTTTTCAAAGCCAAGCCTTGAGATTTTCGTCTCACTCCCTATCATAAGTAACTTCTTCTTTTACCTTACCATTACTTCCTCATTTTTAGCTTTCCTAAGCTAGGTCTCAGGCTCTCCCCAAACCTCGAAACGATCTGAACTCGAGATGACCTCGAAACTTCAGCGCTAATCCGAATGTTGTCGTCCAAAATACTCGACGTAATTGTGTTTGCGACTTGTCTAACCCATTACTTTAGTGTTTCTCGCCAGCCAATTTGCCGAACTCCTTTGTTTTACAGGCCGTTACCAAGTTGTAGTGTTTTAAAGCGTTTTATACGAACTTTTTGTAATTCTTAAACCGCCCATTTACAGTTTTGCTGAATCATTTCCATGGGAATGTGTGACAAGAAAGCCATATTCCTCCCTAGGTTTTGTGATTTTTCAGGTCATTATCCCAGTTTAAGATCCTGATTCAGTCAAAGCCTGATTTTTTTCTATTATTTTATATCTTAGAACTCCTTGATTTTTTTAAATTTTACTGGCGAGGAAAAAGAATCACTGAGCTTCATAGATTATTCTTGTTGGACTAACAGTGGGTAAAAGTGCAGGCTTTTCTCTAGCAAAACGTACTTTTTGCTAGTTGTAGATTTTCCGATCTACCTAAAAAAAAGTTTGGTAGTAAAGAGTTAAAAAAAGGATTCAACAAATTTCGCAAAATCAGGATCATGTTCAACATTTATTCCTGCACCTTTAAAAAAAGTTTTAAAAAATTGGTAGTTTTAAGAATATATGTAAGTTAACCGTGAGCTATTTTTCAGTTGAGAACATTCTGCATAAATTCAGACTTTGTCCTTGTTATTCGAAGACGAACTTTCAGAGCTTTGAAGGTCAATAAAGAAGAATTTGTAGACAAATTTGACGCAAAAAAAACTTGCCTTTCACAGAATTCTGCTTGCTTTTTTTGTTATCCTTTCTGTCTAAGAGCTCGGAAAATAAGCATAGAAACGGCAGAATTTTCTCTGATTAGTAGTAGTGAAAAGCTCGCCCATAGTATTCTTTTTATGTAATTTAACTCCCACATTAATTTTTCTGTTTTCTTCTCTTACAATTAGTCTTCAGAACATATTTGACAAAGTTGAAAAAAGAACGGAAAGATTATCAAGCTTATTGAAACCTTTCTAAGGCACTCGCTAACGGAAATATTTACAGTTCTTGCGAAATAGGTTGTTCTCTACCCTAAACAGGAGCATTTATCGACGTAGCGATGAGCTTTGAGATTGCAGCTGTAGATGCGACGTACTCTCTTTTTCGCTGACTAACACCAGTGAGATAGGCATGGTTAGGCACCCGACAGGACGCCGTACGTGTCCAGATTGATTCAACAGCGAGCATTGACTCCATCAATCAATCAATTTGGACATGTGTGACGTCCATTTGAGTGTCTAGCTCCGCCCACCTCGCTGGTCCTAGTCCGCGAAAAAGTAGATTGATCTTCTTCATTTTGTGCTCTGCATTCTGTTGCTCCATTTTTCTCGAATAAATATTCGTATTCGTTGTCGTATTTCAAGGACTTTTTGAATTCAACTTCAGAGTATTTGCACTAGTGAGTAGTAACCGTGAAAACCGTTGCTTCAGTAATATAGAACAGTTCTCTGCAGTAGAAGGATTTCTTGGCTAAGCTAGTTAGCCCTCTAGTTCCCGGTTCTCTCGCGGTTTCTTCGTGCTAGGATCTCGACATCAAATCGCACACCCGGAACTGTAGGGAATTCTTGGCTGGTTTCTTCCTGACAAGGTTGATGGATGAGAAAAGGTCCTCGATTCACAACGATTAGGTGGCGCAGTGGTAAGTGAGCAAACTGTTGGCCGAGTGGTCAAGGGATCGAGTCTCAGCAATTTTTCTTCGACCGCTTCTTTGTGCTGATAGTCATTGATGGGGTATGACAAGCGAAGGCCAATTTCAAGCATTGTCACTGCCTCACAGAAGGCAACGAAATGTGTTCGAATAGCGCAGTGGTATGTCGTCTGGCTGATGACTGCAAGGTCCCGGATCGGTCCCCGCATGGGGTAAGAGCACAGCTCGAAGTTTTGTTGCCGAGACATAGAAGTACGGGAAGTGCAGTCTTATCTTACTTCGAGAAACTGATAACGATAAGATATGGTTCCGTACACCAGCCGATCATATTCTCTCCCATGAGAGGATCAGATAAGTCAGAGAAAAAATTGCTTCAAACCCGTGTCATGTACGGAAGAGGCGAGCGTGGTGGGCCTACAAGTAGCATTTGGGGCAGGTAGTTAGTCAGGAGGTGGGAGTTGAAAGTGTTGGGAGTATCCACCTTCCGTGGACTCTAGTAGGGTCCATCTTATAAATTTTGCAAAAATATTGCCTTCAAGTAGAATTTTCGTGAACACCTCATTCAGGCTCTAAGAACCTGCTCACTAGATTTGCGTCAATCGGGTAAGATTGACGCAAACCTGGTGCATTGACGCAAAGTTGGTGCACAAAGAGATTGCTCACCAGGTTTGCGTCAGTGGGGATATTGACGCAAAGTTGGTGTATTGACGCAAATTTGGTGTCCACCGAAACGCGGAGTTTTACGCTCACCAGATTTGCGCCAGGTGCGGGATATTGACGCAAAGCTGGTGTACTGACGCAAAGCTGGTGTCCCTTTCTGCTCACCAGATTTGCGCCAACTGTGGATATTGACGCAAAGTTGGTGTATAGAGAAATCAGACGAGCAAAACAGCACCCCAATGCTTGCTTTTTGTTGCCGCTGCTGGTACTCGATCCAGGACCTCCAGATTGACAATCTAACTCGCTAGCCACTGCGCTATCCAGGTAACAATTAGCGAGCATGTTTGGGCTATTATGTAGCTTCAACTTTTGCTTCGTAGGAAAATTTGAGGCAACCGTGGGATTCGAACCACCGACGCCGTCCTCACACCCCAAGGCACTATCCGCTACACCACTTACGTTCTTTTGACCCGTTTTCGTTTTTTACATGGATACGGACTTTCAGATGAAATTTAAAGAATTTTACTTCATCAGCCAAAACTCCTTCCACGGACAGGACTTGAACCCTTCCTTTCCATTGCACCAGCCAAGGATCTAGCCCTCTAGGCTATCCACCCATATCACCTGGTCTTTTTTGGTTATCATGATGGTATGCTATACCAAACCTTCGCCAAGAACACATGAGCAAAAACCACCGGCATCCCCGGGATTCGAACCCCTATCCATTAGTCTGGTAACTTATCGCAATAACCACTACACCATGGGTGTTCTCTACTCTCCGTTAGAAAGTGACCCATCGTTATATCGCATTGAGCCAGTTTATGCCAAAAGTCAAGGTTCCCCAGATTTATTGCTTGCTACACACTCAAAAGCTTTCGACCACGGCAGGATTCGAACCTGCAATCTTCTGCTCCGTAGGCAGACGCGTTATCCATTGCGCCACGCGGCCATGTTGCTATTGTCTCAGGGACTTCTCCAAGTAGCATGGATTTTTCTCGAAGAGTCATGGTTGCACGCGCCTTACTGTACTGTTAGAGGACTTTTCTTGTGGACTTACTTATATAACTTGTAATTCATGTCTACTTCTAATGTTACCTAGTTGTAATCGTTATTTTCCATGAAAATCCGGCTATTTTCGGTCTCTTTTTCTTTTTTTAAGCTTATTAGATCGATTTTTAGTTAAAAATTGCTGTTTTCTACAGATACCTGCTCTTTTTCCATACTTTTTTCACTGACAAGGTCAAGTATGGGGTAGTTATTTCCAGATGTGGGCCATAACCATCAACCTACTACTCCTGGCTATTCTATCCTATGCCAGAAACATCAGACACCCCAGAGATGCCCCAGCTCCTCCAGATTTCATCCTACCCGTCCAGCATGTCCGAGAAGTCCAGGAGGGTTATCTAACCTTTAAAGACCACCAGCTTGGCTCAGAGTCTGCTGAAGAGGACAAGACGAAAAAATGTATTCCACGTAAGTACCCTATCCCCCTACTTTCTTCTCTTCCAGTACTAATGAGGTAATTATAGGTGACTCCCCGGAAGGTATCGCACGCCTACTCGTCATTAATCAACAACTTGCCGATGCAGCAGCCGAAAAAGGGCAGCCGACGCCAGAGGAAAAGCCAGAGGTAAAAGAGGAACCCCAGCCAACAACGGAGGAGCCAGATACCCCACCTCCAACGGGCCCCATCGAGGAGGTGGAGGACGTCCCCGAGGAGCCGTCTCGACCTCCGTTCAACGATACGACACCGTTCGACGGAGTGGACGTTGGTGAAACTATGGAACTTCGTATTTATAAGCCGCTCTGTGATTATTGATTGATTTTTTTCGATTAATTTATATTTCTATATCCGGTGCCCAGCACATGCGAGTAATATGTGTGTTCAGATAAAATCTCGATGTTCTAGTTAGTTTCGAATAATAAAGTGTAACTGTACTTTTTGCGGCATGAAAAGCCAGTTATTGTGACCCAAAGTCAAGTGCAGACACAGAAACCTTGAACCTTTGAGGCTGGATTGATGGGTGGCATCCTTGCCATATAGAAATGCTGAAATTTATGCACAAGTGAGGACTGCATCTACACTTGGTTTGGGGATACAGTATCAAACCGGTTTTTGGCAGCTTTCCAGGTAGATCTCAGTAAAATACTTTTAAATTAAATCCCAGTTTTGTACCTTAAGTCCCCTTTTGATCTCCCAGTCAAGTATAGACACAGGAAACAAACCTCAGTTTTGTAGCGCAAGTTCCCTACTGGGGCCGCCAGACAAGTGTAGACACTAGAGTTCTTAGATTAAATCTCAATTCTATAGCGTGAATCCGCTATTGAGTCTCACAGACAAGTGTAGACACAGGAAACAAATCTGCTTTGTAGCGTAATTTTCCTACTGGGTCCCCCAGTCAAGTGTAGACACAAGAGTTCTTGAATTAACTCTGTTTTCGGCTATTGCACCCTACAGACAAGTATAGACGAAGAAAACAAATCTATTTTGTGCCGTATGTCCACTGCTGAATGCCCTAGTCAAGTGCAGACATGTAAAACGAAACATCCTCATGTGCTGTACACCTTCTGCACAGATCTTGACTACTTCTGCATATTAGTGTTC